CAGCAGGGATGCGGAGCACTTCTTCAAACCAAATGTATACAAGGGAAATGGAAATTTTCTGCAGTGAACACTCTTTCCAATCTCCTAGAGCTTCTTGCAGTAAGCCCTGAAGCATTTCCAACAACGTATGCAACAGAAATGGGTAAAAATCAGATCCGACAATGCAGAGGTTGTAGTTATATCAACCATCAAGGATGAACTCTAAGCCGGAGAATGATGAAACTGATGAGACCACTGATGTCCTGGGCACAGCTACACCTAGTGGTTCTAACAGCCATTCATCTTCCAGGAGAATCCTGTAACATATTTCCTCAGCAGGGTGTAACTAGATCCAGGAGAATAGAGTTTATCAACCAATATTTTCCAAACGATAGTAAAAATAATGGGGTCTTCCTCAAGTAGACTTGATGGCAACAAACAACAATACAAGCTGTCGGAAGAGATGCACTATCATGCAAATGGCAGTTCAAACTCGGATACGTATTTCCTCCAACCCCACTCATCTTCCCGCTCCTGAGAAGGTTAACACAAGAGAATGTAACGATTATCAACGTCACAGCTCTGTACTGGCCACACATACCATGGTCCACACTCCTGCAGAGTCTCTGCAAGGAAACCCCATGACAGCTTCCAGAAGTTACATCACTGCTACAACAATGACCAGTCCTTCACCCAGATCCAGACTTCCTCAACCTGATGGCATGGAAATTAAAAGGGAAGGGCTAAAAGATAAAAGGCTTTCCAAGGCAGTAATTGAAACTCTGCTTCAAGCCAGGAAATGTTTTACTTCAGCCACGTATTACAGAGTATGAGACGTATTTTCTACATGGGCCATTTCTAAACAGAAAAAATAGAAAAAATACAAAAGAGAGCGCATACAATAAAAAAAAAAATAAAAAAAAATCTACGTTATCATTAATGTATATTAAGTCACCTCTCATCCTTCATAGAGGTGAAAATATAACGAAATAATGAGATAATAGGAATAATAGAATATAGCAAAATTATAAAAATAGTACCCAAGGTACCTTCTAAATATTAGCAGCTGAAACAAATTTTTTTTTCCCAAATCCTATACTTGAATGCTAATTGATATTGTCATCGCTTAGAAGATAATCCCCTTGAAATGTAGCACACATGTATACACACATATAAAATTTATCTTAAAAAACTGTAGCAATAAATACAGTATAAATGTCAAAAGTCCAAAGTCTTATCAATTAACATATAAGTTCCTTTGAGGGAAAGTCCAAATTCTAACGAGAACCCAAAATTGTACTGGAAATTCAAAATTAAAATGTGGTACTTATCACTAAGGACCACACAATGAGCTCTTGTCGCTGCTTGCTCTCTTGAAGTCCCAATGGATTGTCCGGTTCTCCAGAGGAGACAGCGTCTGCCTCGTGCACTAAGGTACGCTGTCCGAAAATATTTTTTAAAAAAGTGTGCAGAAACACTGGTATTTATTATGCCAGGACCCCACATTAGCTCAGTTTTTACCTAAAAAGACGAAGGTAATTTTTAGGGGGGCACCCACGCTAAAGAATAGATTAGTACATAGCTACAATAAGCCAAAAAAAACGACCACTTTTTAATTGGAAAGAAGGGATACTGTAAATGTGGAAACTGTAATATATGCACATTAAGCTCTAAGGGAAGGAATTATACAACCTTCCAGTCCTCAGTTACGAAGGAAGTATTTGATATCAAGGAATGTAGTCAAACAAAAAGAACATTGAAAGTTAGATTCAGAGAACATGTCTATAACATCAGAAGAGGTTTTGAGAAACCTTCCCTTTCTAGTCACTTTAAAACACACCACAATAGCGATCCGGCATTACTCACATACTGTGGTATTAAGAAAATAGAAGTACTATGGAGGGGAGGTGAATTGAGTAAAGTCGTAACATACCGGGAAATGTTTTGGATATACAATCTGAAAACCCTAACTCCTTTAGGCTTAAATGCGCAATTAGAACTAGCCAATATACTGTAGTGGAACAGTAGCCAGGGAACTATGGATGCAATCCCTACTTCTTAGATATGTATATTGATAGCAGTTGGATTATTTATAAGTTTAGAAAAACTTCTTTTCATTTATATTGCATATTATAGATTGAGTTCGTGTTAGATATCGGAATATACCTTTAAGAAAGAAAGACAAACTCACCCATTCTAGAGTGGAATGCATTGAATTTCATTGAATATATTCACTTAGAAGGGAACATGAGTCACTACTGTAATGAAAATGCAGGGGTAGAGAAAGAACATAGTTCAGTTGCCGATACCATAGAGAAAAAGGTTTTTGGCAACAACTTGATACAAGAATGATATATTTGTTTCTATTATTAGAGTTGGTATTCGTTATAGACTTTAAGTTATTTAGTTGAAACTTTGAGACAATAGATATTGAAGACAATGGAATCTCCAGGTTAAGAGTGTTGAAACAGCTCTTAATATGACTGTATATATATATAAGTTGTGATGCACTGCTAGCAATAAGATTGTTTTAGGTTATTGTTTTCTGAAATGTTTTGAATAAGTGTATATACCTTTAAGAAGTTTGAATCAGTTTGCCCGGTAAGGTATAAAACCGCCAAGCAACGGCTAGAGCACCTATCTTGAAAAAGCCCACAAAAGAAGGGCGAAACATGTTGATAAGGTGTTAAGGGTTCAGCTTTGCTGCATATCTTTCTTTATCAAGTTCTAGGAACAAGCCGGATTTACTCTCAGTGAAAAATATTTTCGGACAGCCTACCTTAGTTAGGTTAGCTGTCTCCTCTGGAGAACGGGACAATCCGTTGGGACTTCAAGAGAACAAGCAGCTACAAGAGCTCATTGCATGGTCCTTAGTGATAAGTACCACATTTTAACCCCTTAAGGACGGAGCCAAATGCACACGTTGTGAACGAAACAAAATGTAAATAAAACCTGGCATTTGCGCTACATGTCTGTCCAACAGTAATTCACCTCTTTCATATTAAATACACCCACCCTTATTATATATCATTTTATTCAGGGGAAACAGGGCTTTCATTTAATATCAAATAGTTAGCTATGAAACATAATTTAATATGAAAAAAATGGGACAAAATAAGATTTTTTAAAATTTTTTTTAGTTCTACATGACATTTTAACGGTCAATGTTATAATACTGTTTGCTTTTACTGCAATAAAATACACATATTTGTATTCAGCAAAGTCTCACGTGTAAAACAGTACCCCCTATGTACAGGTTTTATGGTGTTTTGGGAAGTTACAGGGTCAAATATAGCAGGTTACATTTGAAATTTAAATTGTTTGTGACTAAGTGGCTACTAAAAAAGACTAGACATACCCCGTTTGCAATACCTTGGGTTGTCTACTATTGCAAATGGTATGCCATCATAGCGGTAATTTTCATTCTTAGGCTACCATAGGGTCTCAAAGGCAACGTAACCAATCTGGCGAATTTTAATGTGAAAAAAATTAAACACAAGCCTTATATTTGACGCTGTAACTTTTGAAAACACCATAAAACCTGTACATGAGGGGTACTGTTGTACTCTGGAGACTTCGCTGGACACAAATATTTGTGTTTCAAACCATTAAAAAGTATTGCAGCAATAATATCGTCCATGTAAGTGCTGTTTGTGCGTGAAAAATGCAAAAAAATTCACTTTTACTGGCGATATCATCGTTGTAATACATTTTACTGTTTTGAAACACTAATATTTGTGTTCAGCGAAGTCTCCTGAGTAGAACAGTACCTCCCATGTGCAGGTTTTATGGTGTCTTGGAAAGTTATAGGGTTAAATATAGTGCTAGCAAATTAAATTCCCTTTACTTTCAGCATGGGTTATCAGGCAGATCCCGCTAATTGGAATTAAGATACCTAATTATGTAAAAATATTACATAAATATATATGTAGAATTAATATGTGTGTGTATATATATATATATATATGAATATATATGTGTGTATATATATATATATTTTTTTTTTAAATATTTTTATTTATATATGGGTGTGTGTGTATATATATATATATATATATATATATATATATATATATATATGAATATATATATATGAATATATATGTGTGTATATATATATATATATTTTTTTTTTAAATATTTTTATTTATATATGGGTGTGTGTGTGTATATATATATATATATATATATATATATATATATATTAATATCACAATACAGTTAGAACGAAATAACACACATCTATATATGTTTTAATTGTTTTTTTATTTGTTTTTTTTTACGTATTTACATATTTATTTTTTTATATTATATATAAATATATATATATATATATATATATATAACAATAATGATATATATATATATATTTAATCAGTATCAGTCTACGTGTAATTTGATATTAATATATATATAATTATATATATATATATATATATATATATTAATAGTAAAATACACCTAGACAGTGTATGTGTGTGTATGTATATAAATATACTTAGATCATATATATAAATAATATATATATATATATATTTTTACACTTTATTAATTTAATTTATTTATTAATTTATTTTATTTCCAGCCAGCAGGGGGACCACCTGTCATTACAGGCAGCCCCCCTGCTGGCAATACAGCAGCCAGCTATCCCGGCCATGTGATTGTGAGGTCCTCGCAAGGACCTCACTCTCACATGGCCGGGGGGGCTGCCAGGGGGTCGGACGTGCTGCGGGGGCTCCCTAGGAGTCCCCCCAACCGCGATCGCCGGCGACCAGGTAAGTAAGGAAAGACCGGAGGGCGTACTATTACGCCAAGCGGCGTTTAGAGCCGCCTAAAATAGGGCGGTCTTAAGGGGTTAATTTTGAATTTCCTGTACACTTTTGGGCCCTCATTAGAATTTGGAACTTATATGTTAATTGATAAGACTTTGGACTTTTTATTGACATTTATACTGTGTTTATTGCTACAGTTTTTTTAAGATACATTTTATATGTGTGTACCCTTGCTACATTTCAAGGGGATGACAATATTGATTACCATTTCTAAACAGATTGACATTCAGAATCCATCAACTAAAGACATTCTGAAATTTCTTCAGTCCGGCTTAGATAAGGGGTTGAGCTATAATACCTTAAAAGTGCATATTTCAGCTCTCTCGGCTCTCACAAACCACAAATGGGCCTTTGATACAGATATAGCAAGGTTTATGATGGCAGTGCTAAAGAACTATCCACCTATCAAACAGTTTGCCCCTCCGTGTGATTTACCACTGGTTCTTAAAGCACTTAAATTTCATCCTTTTGAGCCTTTTGATTCTATCACTCCTGATCTACTTACCATCAAAACCGTTCTTCTAGTGGCCTTAGCATCGGGTAGAAGAGTATCAGAACTTCACGCTCGGTCTGCCAAAGAACCCTTCACAGTTTTTCACAAGGATAGAGTGATCTTAAGAACAGTTCCTGAATTTTACCCCAAAGTGACTTCATAATTTCACATGAATGAGAAAATAGTGTTTCCATCATTGCAATCTGAGGTTCAGTCCAGTGGAGAAGGTAATCTTTCCCCTATTGATTTGGTTAGATGCCTTAGAATTTATTTAAATCTTCAGCCTGGCGTATTTTTTAAAGACTATCTACCATACCTAATGGTGCCAGAGGAGGCCATCAAGCATCAAAAACAGCTATCAGTAGATGCATTGTGTAACGAACGCTGGTATAACAGCTACCCGTTCGTCTATTTTCTGATTATAGCTCGAAGTTCGGGTGTTGATTTGAATGATTTTCCATATGAATGACAGTCTCACAAGTAGAATCTCCCAATAAAGTAGACAGGTAACCAAACATCAGCCGAAACTAGATGAAGGGTGTAACAGGAATGATTTTAATGGGTGCCACACTGGCTTTTATGCAAGTCCCCATGCAAAGGGCACTCCCCCGTGGACCTTGTGGGGAACAGGGTGTCATGCGGTATCTCTCACAAGCCTTCCTAAACCTTTGCAGATAAAAGGATTATGCTTCATCCACTAGAGGATTACTGGAGAACGGACACTTTACCATTTAACAAGTGGACTCTAATACTGATCTCTTGGAGGACAACTCACATAAATCTTAAGTATAACTTCCAATTTTATTATCTGAAATCTCAGTTATTAATGAACTGTTTCCTGCTTGCTCAAATCCTCTCTGCTGCATACACACTAATTATACTGAGGATAACTCCCATCAAGCTTAACCACTATGAACTGTTTCTTGCTTTGCAAATATTCTCTGCTACCAGCATACTATTTCTATTGAAGATTATTCCTATCAACCTAAAGAATATTCTTCAATACATCTCGGAGGAAATACTTATTGATGAACTTTGTATTGTTTGCTAACCAGCAATTTCTTCTTATTGAATTATTACCTATATGCTTTTCACTTAAGTTTATCACAATCATTAAAACTTTGTTTGATTCTCTAATTGCCAGCAAGCCTCTCTTTTCTTAAAGCTACAGTATTGATAATTTAAAGATTCTCCGTTTCTTCACTATTGTAATTAAGGAGTTCTACAAGCTGCAGTCGAGTTCCAATTCTAAAAACCCTAGTAGCATAACACAGGGACACAAAGCGTACAGCCAATAACAATACAGTGACAAACTGTGACACTCCCAATACAAACAAGCAATTCCCTCCTCTCTGCCTGGAGATAATTGAGTCAGATAAAGTAATAACTTAATCATCTCCAGGCAGAAAAAAAACATAATTTTCACAAAGCTTGAAAAGTAGCCAAAACATACAAGATCCCCATAAATGCCCTTATCTTGGTGATCAACATATCCAAAATTCACCCAGATCAGTTCAGGGTTTTTTGCATTTTATGGAAGTCCACGTTTGACTGACCGCACACGAGGCTCCTGTCCAGAAACAGTTCCATGAGTTTAGGCTGTGTGGCTGGTCTATTTCAACAAATTAAAAAAAAAAAAAACACAAATGCACAAACTGCACCACCTGGCTCATAGTAGCGATTGTTCCCCTGGTTCGTGGGAACCAAACTACCGAACAGCGCTCTCCTGGCTGTTCGGGAAAAAGAAGCAGGCGTTCGTACAGTTTGACCGGTGTTCGGGAAGTAGAGTGTCCAATTTTAGTTCCAGACACTCGATGACCAAGTCCTGCTGCCTCCTTTCGTGCGAACAAAATGGCCCAGTTTTCTCCTGCACGTGGCGTTCGACTGTACGAACGGCGGCCACGCAGGGAAAGCACTTAATCGTCTGTTCTCTTTGAGGATAATGAGCCAGGAGAGTGGTCTGTGTTTGGTAGTTACAGCTACCGAATGGAAAAAGCAAAATAAACAAAATAACTTTGTAATTTCTTCACAGATTGTATCAGCTATCACCCAGGCTTTCAAGGCTTCAGGAGTCCCGGTACCAGAAGGACTTAAAGCCCATTCCACAAGGTCCCTTTCTTCCTCCTGGGCAGCAGCTGCTAAAGTGCCCCCAGAACTGATTTGTAAAACAGCCACTTGGTCTTCAACCAACACTTTTATTAGACATTATCAAATAGACATGAAGGCTGGTCAATTTGATAAGTTTGGTAAAACTGTTCTTTCTGCCTCCGTTATATGTTTGATTACTGGTAGTCTGTCACATTTTGTGTGTGTGAATACACTTGCATTTGATAATTTAGAGTCTGCGATTTTATTTCCATCTCTTGATTATTGCTTGGGTATTACCCATTGTTGTGCTGCCATGGGTATGGCCAGGAAAGAGGAAACTTTATTCATACTTCCCGTAATTTTCTTTTCCTGGTCATAGGCCATGGCAGCACAGAGAACCCACCCTGGGATATTGCTGGAAACCAGACTGAGGTAGGAGGGGTTATATATACCCTTATTTAAATTAGTTCCTGTCTAATTAGGGATAGGGAGGAGCTACCCATTGTTGTGATGCCATGGCCTATGACCAGGAAAATAAAATTACGGAAAGTATGAATACATTTTCCTCTGTTACAATGAGAGAAAAGGGGGAGACAAACATATATTAATATCATAAAATATAAACAAGCCTTCTTATTTTTTATTCAAACACCATCATTTATAATTATTAGGAAATTCAATAGGGGCCAATAAGATGGAAAAAATTATGGGAAAGATATATCAATAAAAGTACCTATTGCTAAAAATGTAAGGGATAAAACAAACAAGATTTCTATATAAAAAATAAACAATAGAATTTTATTAGAGGGAGATCTTTATAAAATCCCATAATTATAAAAAAGGTGTAATTTCAAACATTACATAAAGACCTTTACGGGTTGTAGGGTCTAAAAATTGAAAAAGTTATTAAACCAAAAAAAATGATTTATTTGCTAAAATCATATTGGCACTGAGTCTATCACAAATTATAGAGGATGTTAAATTGAAAAATGTTCTTTAATGGCTACTTGCAATGTTATCACCCTTTACACAAATATACCTCATTCAAAAGGCTTCAAAGCAGTAAGATTTTTTTATTTTTTTTAAAGTGGACATAAAAGCGTGCATGACATGTACAATTAAGTATATATCAAAATCAATTTTGCAGTCTAGAATTTAACCTAATGATCCAATTGAATTAAATTACAATGTTAATGTTAGATAATGATCAAATCCAATTTGGGTTTGCTAAATTTGTTGGTTTGGTTAAATGTAAAACCACAGATTTTATTTCTGGCTGTATTTTTTTTCCCCAGATGTTGGTGAAGACCTGCTAAAGATGTGTGAAAATAATGTTGTCCTAAATAGAAGGCTTACAGATCTATCAGGTTATAAAAAATTTTCCATATGATATTTAATGTTTACATTCTTTATATTATTGATAATTTTATCAAAATACAGATTAAGGAACAGCATACAGTAAAAATAGTTTTCAATTTTACACAGCAACTTAAAACCACCTATCTTAGCAAACAAATATGGGGATAACATATGGGGGTAATTTTAAGTTGTCTTGTAACATTTAAAACCGTATATATTTTGTTTGTGTTCGGTGTTTCTTAATCAGTATTTTGTATACATTTTGGTCTTTACAGCAGCACCACTTCGGAGAACTGCATGTTCTTGGTGTGCCTACAATTCCCTCTTTTCTTTGTATAATTTTATTAAAACTTATTCTTAAAGGGGAAAATAATAGTATAATACCTGCATGCAGATAAGCTGGGGATAAGCACCCACATTTAGCAAAAGACTTAAACTAAACCAGCATTATTGTTTCATACTTGTATATTTACATATAGTTAATGAGTTTGTCTCATGGGTATTGTTAGAAATTATGACCCTCTTACACGGTTATTATTTAGAGATGTGGACCTACAAAACATAGACAAATAACATATATATTGATGGTTATTGTCAAATTAGGCTACCATTACAATTTTGTTCTAAGTATAAAAACATTGTATTAATACATAGGCCCTGTACACAATATAATAAAATGCAATAATATTTTTATTATTTATATTTATGTATAGCTGACTGAGTTCTCACTGTCCTCCATGATGGTTACACAGCTGTCTAAACTCACATGGGCAGATGAAAAGAAGAGTCTTTATGTGAATGTTAGAAGCAATACTGTTCCAGGACTGATCCCTCACCACCCTCCCCCCGAATTATTTTCTCTCTACCTATTTTTGGGCCTAGTTTTACACACCATCTACCCCAAATGATCTTGGGACCCTGTGATTGGTTGTCGACAGGGCCGTCTTTAATATTGATTGGAACCTGGACAAACATTAGCTTGGGCCCCTTGGACCCTGTCGTCACCCCCTCCCTGGCATGCAATCAAGGCCCCCACCCCAACGCAGAGGCGGACATAAAGTAGAGAGGGTTCTGGTGCATGAATTATTTTGGGCAAAAGGTAGATCCCCCATCTGTCGTGCAACTCCAACAATGCTTTGACAGCTGGGGCTCTACCACTTTCCCATGCATGCAGTGTTGTATTTAGCACTGAGCAGTATTTTTGTGTTTTAGTGTAAGCATGTTTTTGTATGGAGTATGTTTGTGTGAATGCAGGGGTGTGTTTGTATGTGGAGATGGCATTTGAATGCAAGCATGCATTGATGTGTAGTTTTGGTTTTTGAATGCACTGGTGTGTTTATATATAATTTTGTTCTTTAAAAAAGAGGTGTGTTTATATGTAGTGTTGAAGTTTGAATTTAGGTGTGTATTTGCATTTAGTGTTGGCGTTTGAATGCTGAGATGTATGCACA